TTATATGATACATCCAAAACAACAAAACCAACACTGTGGCAGAAGCCAAACTTAAACCTTTCCCAGCCTGCCTGCCTGTCCTGGCTCAGCCCTCCACCAAGCCATGATTAACTATATTCAACTGATATTAAATGACACCATAGCTGATCTCTCTCCTAAATAAAAAGATAAAAATTAAACAGGCCATCCTCCAAAAGTCAGATGGCATTAGACATAATAACTTAAAGAGATACTGACATATGACATAAATGACATGTCAGTTCCTAAAGTTCCCTAGACGTTGTCCTCCTTATGGGAAGGCATTACTAAAGTCATAAATACTCTGTTGATTGTATTTGACCCTTGCATACTTACTTAATTCTATAGATACCTTCTACTGTAGACCCACAACAAAAAGGCAAAACTTGACCTTCAAACTCCATAGAGATCTCCTCAATATGGCTTTTCATGTTTTGAACAACAGAGATAACAGTGACACTTGGAGTTTTGAGACAGGTAAACCAACACAAGGTGGAGCTGCCTGCCCCGCCCCCGCCATGGACCATGCCTCAAATGCAACAGGACATTGGACAAGAGAGTACCCCATCCCGACGTTTCTTTGGCATCTTAACCCAGGGCTACTGGACTGTCCTAGCCACCAGAGAGTGGGTAAACCATCCTAACTTCTAGCCCTCGTGGGAAATGCCAACACTGCCAGATTCATCGCTGACAGATCTGCTTAAACTTGCTGCTGAAGACTGACGGGTCTCAGGGCCAACAACAGCAGCCCACTTTAAGGTGTCCGTCTCAGAGCCCAAGTCCCACTAAAAGTCTCAGATAAGACATTCTCTATACTTGTGGACATAGCAGCCATATATACAGAGTTCTTCCTGAGTTTTCAGGCTGCTATAGTAAGTCCTCAATCTATGCCATTTACAAACAGGGCAGATTCCAGACTGCTTCTTCCCAGTCCACCCAGTGGTGCCAGATCTTCCCTCCACCACTCATTCTACAGTCCTAAATCTTAAAACTGCTTCTTATTCCCTTGTGTTTATACAGACTGACCCAGATACTGAGGCCTCAACAACTTACACCTGTTATCGCTAGTAAACCTTTCCTCAGTGATATATACCACCCCCTTCCTTTCTTACCAATTTCTCAGACACAACCCCGGTCAAGACTGACAGATAAATTTTGTCTTCTCACTTTGTTTATACTTTTTCAGGATACATAAAAGCCTTTCCTACAACCAGGGAGACTGTTGATATACTTACTAAAGTTCTGTTACAGCAAATCATTCCAAGGACTACAACCAGGTTACAGCAACCCATACCTGGTATTCTTGGCAACCTCAACAGTGATCAAAATTGCTGGACTGCCATACTGGTTTCACATCACTCAGGCTAAGTGGTACCCTTCCAGCCCTAGCTCTAATGATCCTTTTGCCTATTCATCTCTGTCTTACCAAGGCCTCACAGCCACAACTCTCAGGCTGTCATATTTTTGTTATCCAATTTGGTTTCTAATTTCTTATCCCTTTTTTACAGCAGGACTCTCAACAGTATTTCCTAAAGACTCCCAAGTCACACATACCAGAGACAAGCCTTACCCTCTTAACTTTTACCCTTTCAGATGGGGGAGTAATCACCTCTCATAACTTCACTCCTCCTAACCCCACATTTATTTTTCAGAATTCTGCCTTACTGTGGCAATGATTCTACCTCAACATGGTCCTGATATAATGACATATCTAAATCAAAGGCACCTTTCCTTTACCTCACCTGTGTCCTTAAATATGACAATGCCATGACTCCTCATAACATCTTGTCCCTTTGTTTTTCCAGTCTAATATACGTGCATTCACAAGTGAAGTTGTCCTGGCTAAAATACCTGGCACCAGCTTCTCCATGGGCATCAACAGTCATCCTGTCGACTTCCCTAGACCCCAGTACAGTGCCCCCTTCCAGCAGGAAGCAGTAAAAAAAGAAATCTCCACCCCTTTTCCTAATAATAATAATCATAAAATGGGAATGAAAGAGTTATGGCCCAGACAGGACTCTATAGCTGGTAAAACATTAGAGGCAAAACCAAGGAGCTCCATATTCCCCACCCCTAGGAATTTACCTGTGACTCTATCTTCCCCACCCTACGAATTTGCTCTGGCATGAAATGAATACCATTGAGATACCTGTGCCTCCCTAATGCCCCGCAGGCTCCACCCCAATCCTAAGCTACATGTATGCCCCCACTCCACGTGTCCCACGGAGAGATCGCCGACCCCAGGTGGGGAGATGCTGTGCCCCAGGGGGTCAGGGGGGTCTCTCCCCGCATTCTTAAAATAAAGGTCATTTATATTTCATACTTCTTATCTTTTCAGCCGCCACCACAATTCTATCACCTACCAATGTGTGGGAGTAGGAAATTCTTACAATGTAGTGATATCAGCCTCTGTGTATGCAGGTGTAGTTCTTCTGAAACAGAAACTGTAAGCAACCACACTGGAATATTAGTGTATAAGGCAGACAAACACATGTAAATTATAATAAAGGGTCAACTGCATCTGTTCAGCACTCAGCCTTTGGAAACAAATCTATAGTCAGTGCTGGCATGAATAAAGCTGCTTCCTGGGAAAAAGGCCTCCATGTCCTGTCTCTCTACATGAAAACCCCACAGCACTATCCCAAAATTTAAAAAAAGGGCTGGAAGATGTAGCTGGTGCTTGCTGGTAGAATGTGAATTAGTACAACCACTGTGGAAATCAGAAGGAGCCTCCCCCACCAAAAAATAGGCCGGGAGTTTAGCTCAGCTGTTTAAGTGCCTGCCCAGTCATCACAAAATTGTGAGCTCACTCCCTGGTACCAAAACAAACAAACAAAATACTGTGAAACTATAGCTACCTTTGCTCCCTCCAGCTATACCACTTCTTGGCAAATACCCAAAGACACTGAAGTCAGCATACTATAGGGTTACTTCTATACCCATTTTTATTGAGGCATGATGAGCAAATGAGTGAGACTCAGAAGACAAATATCTCATGTTTTCCCTAAATGGGCAATCTTAAAAAGATGATAAGAACAAGCAGGCAGTCCTGAGTTCGATCCCTGGTACCAATAAAAAGGAAAAAACAAAACAAAAAAAGATGATAAGAAAAATAAAGAGAGATTGCTGTTGGGCAAGGGGAAGGGAACAAGGTGGGGCATAAGAATGGGCAATAGGGAGGATGGATATGAACAGAATGTATGTGTTAATCCTATGTGAAACCAGCGGGGAGCTTGATGGGGAGATGGAAATGATCAAAATATATTATGTTCATGTATGAACCTGCTAAAATGAAACCAATTGACACGCATAACAAATTTTAAAAGAGCAGAATAAATAAAAAAGGGGTCATTTATATAGCATCAACATGTGTGGTTGATTGACAACTAGTGGTCAATTTGTAATACCAGAAGAACTAAATCAGCATGGTGCTAGGTGTGGATGGCCCATCTGAAGGTTGTTTCCAAGGTGGTGTTGGTTCTCCTGGGTGTTGTTGATTCTTCTGGAGGAGCTTGTCTAGTTTCTTTCCTGATATGAACTTGGCTGTTCATTGTTGGAGGAGTTCGGGACCTCATTGCTACTAAGGATGGCTGTCATATTTTTGAGGGGAGCCCTGGTCCTTACTTTGAGCATCATTTCTTGGCTCTAGTGCAGAACCCTAGGCCACTGGCACAGATCTTTCATCCTGCTAGCACAGACTTTCTAGTTTCCACTGATATAGGGAAATGAGACTGCCAACCTACTATGTCCGCGAGTTCGTGTTCTCTAAAACCAAAGAGTGGATTGCAGGAACAACGGAGGTGAAGAATATATTTATTGAGAGAAAGAAAGCTTCTGTCTGAAAAGAGATAAGAGGGGTCCCAAGCGGGTTACCAAGGACTCTGTCGTTTTCAGGCACTTTATTAGAGTAAAACTATGGGTTTAAGGTGGGCTGTGGGTGGGGTGGATAGGACTTGGAGCTCACAAGGCAGATGGGCATAAGGTGGGACATATCTATAGCTAGCAATGGTGACTTCTGACTTCAAGGTGATTCAGACTTAATCCTTAAGGATTATACTTAAGGGTGTGGTTGCATTTGTTTTGCATTCGTCTTGAGATCTGGTCCACAGCAAGAGGTGTGTGTCCCCTTCAAGGTCATCAGATATCTGGTCCTGTGTGCTGGCTTCCTCTGAAGGTCTAACCCTGTCTGACTGCCTATGATATTTCTAACTGGCTCAGCTGTCTATGACACCACCACTGAATTTTCAGCCTTCTCAGCATGGATCCATGAAACAGACTTGTATGGGTCATTGTCATGGGCTCTAGGTCTTTAGCTGGACTCGTGCAGAACATTGCAATGGCCCTCAGCTGGATTTTGTTAGGGTCTTTATTGTATAGACAGATTTTCTGCCCTTTTTTTTTTGTATTTGACTCTTTGGTGACTATTATAAAATAATACTATAAATTAGTGTCCTGTACTGCATTGCTTCCCTTGCAAATGCTGACTATAACAACACAGTAGAATGGCACATGGCTATTGACAATGTTTCCACGATGTATTAAATTAAAAGTCAGACTATGGCTGGAGATATATTTAGAACTTCAAACCCAGGAATGTTATGTAACATGCTTGAGGCTCTGAGTTTGATCCCAGTATTGCCAAAAATGAAATAATGAAATAAAATCACACTATAAAAATAACCCTACAATGAAAAAGCTTAAACTAGTCGGGCGTGGTGGCGCAATCCTGTAACCCTAGCACTCGGAAGGCTGAGGCAGGCAGATTGAACACATAGTGAGAACCTGTATCAAAAAGACAATAAAAATACATTGTTCTTGCTTTTAAATAATAATTGAATACAAAAATTACCCATGATAATGAGAAAAAATGCTGCATTGATTATAGTGTGTTCTGCTAAAGAGAAACCTAATTAAATCCCTGAGAAGTCTGTATATTGAACAATATGAACATTTGAAGATATCAAATAAATTTGAGAAACCCATTTTTAGAAATTGTTTAATGAATTTATCAGCAATTTTGAAGACTCTTGGTTGACAGCTAGTAGACATCTGTGGAACTCTTGTCCATATCGTATTCCACCTTTGTGTCCAAGCTTTAAATTAGCAGTTTTGATCAGTATAGTCTCAGACACCAGCGATTTTACAGTTTTGAACTTTGGTATTGTTCTGTAGGCTGTATGTCTGTTTCACAGCAGCCGCATTCTTGGATCCAGTTTCAGAATTCTGTGAATGGGAAGGAGACTCTGGGGACTCTGGGATTGTTGTTCTTGCTTCAGGCTTACATTCTTTAGTTTCTTGAATATTTCCAGCTGACTCTTCCAAACCTATTCCTGAGGAACTGAGAAAGATCACGTGTGAGGACATTATATGGGTAGGATTGCTTGGAAAGTGTTTGGACTTGCAAGGGTATGACATTAATATGATTTCACCACTTTATAACTGTCAAGCACAAAGAAAACAAGCCAAATAAAATTTAAACCTACACTCATGGATTATCTCTGACCTAAAATCAGGATTCTGTGGGGTGTGAGAGTTAAAGGATAGTGAGGGGAGAAGGAACTGGGAGAAAATACAGATATAAAAAGTAGAACCCCTCTTTCCATGCTATGCTTTCTGAATCCAACAATTTAGAACCAGGTAGCAGCTATAATTTAAGAAATGTAGATGATTATCTTGATTTTACTAACCTAGAGTTTGGTAAAGGCAGTATTTTATTCAATACTTCAAACTCAGGAATCTCACTAATTGCCTCCTGAAAGGAAAACAAGGATTAATATTAAATATTATAATGATAAGACATTGGCAATGTGAGCCTAGAACTTGTAATATGTAGATATAGATACAGGTATAAAGATACATACGTATGCACATACTACAAACAACAAAACATTAAAGATACAAAATAAAAAGTTGCTTGTCTTGTCACCTGCCCTGTAAGTCTGTCAGTCTAGTCTTTCTTCAATATATATGATATTCCTTCAATATATTCCTTCAACATGTAAAAGGTAAGCCTGGGATGGTGGTGCACGCCTATAATCCCAGCACTCAGGAGGCTGAGGCAGGAGGACTGTTGCAAGTTTGAGACCAGCCTGGGCAACAAAGTGAGCTCAAGATCAGCCTGAACTGTATAGCTAGACCCTGTTTCAAAAAGATTATATATATAATCTATTTGTATCTGTCCACCATTCTACACACATAGCCCTATATACTCTATCTTTATTTTGTTTCTTTCCTTTGTTATATATAGTTTGAAAACAGAAACATCTTTGGCGGGGGGTACTAGGGATTGAGCCCAGGATTATCACACTGAACTATATCCTCAGCCCATTATATTTGTCTTTGTTTGTTTGTTTCTTAATATTTTGATGTTGAGGACTGAACCCAGGGCTCATACTTGCTAGACAATCAGGAACCCAGCCAAGAGCTCTGATTGTCAATATCAGGAATGCTGAGAAAAATAAAAACAGAGACATGTATCATATTTTAACAATGGCTGGGGCTGGGGACTGGCAAACACAAGTTTGTTCCCGGTGCAAAAACAGACAAGCAAAAAAAAACCCCAAACAATGGCTGGGAAATTAATCTCTCTGGATTTGATCTCTTTTCTCTCAAAACAGCCACTATTATTTGATCTATACAGTGATAGGTGGGGCTAGAAAAGGATTACAATTTATCTAAAGATTCTGACTCTAGAGGATGTAGATAATTTTACCTTTAAAGTATCTTCACCAGAATATAATGCTATGATGATTTAAGAAGGCGTAGATGATTTTATGCTTAGAAGTATCTTGTCCTTCAGTATAATCTTGAGATGGTTTAAGAAGGTATCCATGATTTTATGCTTGGAAGAGTCAATGGGAAATCCCAAATGGGTGGATCAACAATTCCAGGGTTTTTTTTTAATCCCACAGGGAAATACGTAAAACCAGCCATTGTGAATTTGGTCCCCAACACTAGACCAGCATTCAACCAATGAACTAAATTCCTAAAACCCTCGTATCTCCTAAGATTACAGGTATATACCACCATACCTGGCTTTATTTTTTTCTTTTAAATAACTTCCTGTCTTGACAAGTAAGTCACATAATAACATGTAGTTCCTAACATGTGCGGTCCTTTTCTTGCTTGCTTGCTTTTTTTTGGTACCAGGGATTGAACTCAGCATCTTGCACTTGCCAGGCAGACGCTGATGCTGTTGATCTATATCCCCAGTTTCCAGTGCTTTTCTATATATTCAGAGGTAAGGAACTATCACCACTATCTAATTCCAGAACATTTCCATCACACCATTCCCCTTGCAAAACCCATGATCATTCATCCTGTTACTCCTCTTTCTCCCCACCCCCTGGAAATCACTACTGTACTTTCTGTCTATATCGATTTTTTTATTCTCAGCTTTTCATATGAATGTGATTATACAAATATGGCTTTTGTTTCTGGTTTCTCTAAAACATTAGTATGCTTTACGGTTTCATTCATGTTGTAGCATGTATCAGTACTTCATTTTCTTTGCATTCTTTCTTTTTTTTTAAGCAGTGTCTAACTAGTTCAGGCTGGCATTGAACTCATTATGTACCCCAGGCTAGCCTTGAAATTGCAGCGATCCTCCTGTTTTGACCTCCCAAGTGCTAGGATTACAGGCATGTGCCACCACACCCAGATGCATTTTTTAATGTCTAAAAAATCCATTGTATATTTCAAAACAGGATAATAGGAAAAAAATCCATTGTATGAATTTAACATTTTGCTCAATTCCTTAGCCAATGGAGATTGGGTGTTTCTACTTTTTTGTTATTATGAATAATGCTCTGTATACATATATTCAAGAGCATAAATATTTGTATATTGCTAGTCTGAATGATTTAAGACATTTTACTAGAAGCCAAGCACAGTACATATGGCTGTAGTCGTGGGCTGCTTAGCAAGTATTAGGGTAACCTGAACTACGTAGTGAGATCCTGTCTTAAAAAAACAAGCACAAAAAATGTTACCAGTATTGACAAATTATAATTGCATATATTTATGGGGTATAAAGTGATGGATAATATAGGCACACAATGTGAAGTGACTGAATTAACGTAATTACATGTATATATTCACATATTTATTTCTCTTGTCTAACTAAAACTATATATTTTGATCAACCATGCTCCATTCTCCCATCCTCCAGCCTCTGGTAATCATTCTGTTTTTTCCTTCTATGAGTTTGTTTACTTTAGATTCCACATGTTAAATCAGTGTGGGGATTCCTCAAAAAACTAAGATTGGAGGTCCCATTCAACCCAGCTATTCCCCTTCTGGGTATCTTCCCAAAAGATTCCACATGTAAATGAGAATAAGTGTAGTCATCTTGACTTATTTCTCTTAACGTACCTCCCTTTCAGTTCATCTATGTGTTGTAAATTACAGCATCCTTTTTAAAGGATGAATAGTATTCCACTGTGTATATATACATTTTCTTTATGTATTCACCCATTGATGGACTTACATTGATTCCATAATTAGGCTATCATGAATAGTGTTAAAATAAACACAGGATGTATTTATTTTAAATCCTCTATGCATATGCACAAAAACTTCCATACAGTTTTAAATAATATCTATATTAATTTTCCATAATAGTTGTATTGTTTCTGCTAACAATATAAAGGGGTGTGCTTTTCTCTACGTTCTCAACAACATTTATTTTTATCTTTCTGACAACTATGAGGTGATCCATCACCATGGTTTTAATTTGTATTTCCTTAAGATTAGTGATGTGGAGCATTTTTTCAGGCATCTGTTGGTCATTTGTGATCATGTTATTTCAATTACTATAGCTTTGTATTATAGCTTGAAGTCAGATGGTGTAAGGCCTCTGATTTTGTTCTTTTTTACTTAAGACTTGTGGGTATTTAGGGATTTTTGTGGTTCCAAATTAATTTTAGGATTTTTTTTCTATTTAGGTAAAAATAACATTGGACTTTTGAAAGGAATTAGACTGAATCTGAGTATTGCTTAGGGAAATAGACATTTTAACAATACTAATTCTTCCAGGTTATGAGCCCTGATGTCTTTCCATTTATTTGTGTCTTTTTCAATTTTTTATCAAAGTTTTTTAGTTTTCTGTGTACAAGATCTTTCATCTCCTGAGCTAAATTTATTCCTAATTATCATTTTTCTTGTTATTGAGACAAGATCTCACTACGTAGTTCAGGCTAGCAGTAAACTCACTATGTAGCCCCAGGCTGGCCTTGAACTGGTTGATCTTGCCTCAGCCTCCCAAGTGCTGAGATTACAGGCATGTGTCACCACGCCAACTTCCTATTTTTTGATAGCTTTATAAGTGGAATTATTTTCTTGATTTCTTTTTCAGAAAATTATGTTGGTGTATACAATACTATTGATTTTGTTGTGTAGATTTTGTATCCTGCAACTTTACTGTATTTGTTTATTAGATCTAATGGAATTTTATTGATGAAGTCTTGAGGGATTTCTACATGCTAGATCATATCAGCAATGACAATTTCACTTCTTCCATCTCCTTCCCTTCTTTTTCTCCTCCTCCACATCCTCCTTTTCCTCTTCTTCCTCTTCCTCATTTTGGACAGAATCTCACTATGTAGTCCGCTGGTCTTGAATTCACTATGTATTCCTACATGTCCTCAAATTCATGATCCTTCTGTCAGATTCTCAAGTGCTAGGACTGTACAAGACAGCAGCCATACCCAGCACTTTTCTTATTTGGGTGCTTTAATTTCATTAAGCTTGAAATCTGGTCAGGTTAGATTATGTCATGTCTTTTCACCTGTCTGAATTTGAATTCCTACATCTGTAAGATGAGGATAACAGCTGATATCTAATTTTTCAGGGCTGAAGGGAAAATAATACATGACACACATCAGGAACTCAGTAATGTTTAATGGTGACACATCCCTATAATCCCAATTTGGGAGGCTGAGGCAGTAGGACAAATTTGAGGCCAATCTGGGATATGTAGTGAGTTCAAGTCCAGTCTGAACTACATAGGAAACAAATGTCTCAACAAAACAAAACGAAACAAAACAAAGCAAAACAAAAATAAGTAAATGTATGTCATTAAAAGATAGATACTATCATCTCTGGATGTCAATTCTTTACCAAAAAAATATACTAGGTAATTTATGTGCATTATTTATTTCATAGCTAACAACCATCTTTTAAAAAAAATTTCTTTTTTTTTGTATAGGTGGTTGAGCCAGGCTTTTCACAGATCTAAGCCCAGCCTGGACAACTTAGTGAGATTCTATTTCAAAATAAAAAATAAAAAAGGATTGAAAATGTAGGCCAAGGTGAAGACTCTAGATCCAGTCCTCTGTACCCCCCCAAAATCTTTATTTTTTGTCCTGACTATGGATATTTAATTTACATATCATATAATTCATTCACCTAAAGCACATAATTCAGTGTTTTTTTTTTGTTTTGTTTTGTTTTTGGCACCAGGAATCGAACTCAGGATCTTGCACTTGCTAGGCAGGTGCTTATGCCACTGAGCTAAACCCCTGACCCTGATCAGTGGTTTTTAATAGTATTATTTGAAGAGTTGTATAAGTATCACCACAGTGAATTTTAAAACATTTTCATCACCCTCAATATAAATCCCATGCCCTTTAACCCCTCAGTACTAGGAAATCACTGTTATGCCTACTGTTGCCTACTGTTATGGTCTGTATCTAGACCATGTTACCCCAAAGTCTCATGCACTCACCAAAAATACCTATACAAATATATACC